GCAGGTGGAGTAGCTCCACCCAACTCCAACTTCATTTTTGTGCATGCGCCTCACCCCCTCATACCACAAGACAGTGGGATGGAATGGGCGGGGTGTTAACTAAGATTTATTTATGGGGTAGAGCTTATATTAGACGCAGATGTAAAAATAAACTAGATCTTATTTTCAGGATAGGTTTTATTTTCAGGAAAACATGGTAGGACTGATCCTGCCTGACACTTCATCTAGATCTCAAGTTCTGTAATAGAGTAGGAACATTCTCTATTCTTTTTTGTCTTTTCAGAGGGAACAGATGGTTTTGGTCATAATTTTCTCATTTTATTTCTAGAAATAGCTTGAAATAATTCTGGAAGACCTCTTCTTTTATGCCTAACTATAAAATCCATTCAAAGTAGGTATTTCTTTACCTCCATAAAAAGAAAGTTATCTGCATGTTCCTACACAAGCCAGCATTTTTTTTTCAAATCACGTGGGAATTAGTTTGTGGAATTAGCACCCTTTCTTCTGACCATATTAGAATGCTTCCAAACCACTCTTCCACCAGATGGTCATAAAAGAAAAGAATCCCTGGAGTCAATCATAACAACCTGGTTATTAGATAACATGATCCCTCTATCCCCCTGCCTAGCCCACACTGTTACTTGTCTTCTTTTAAAGTATCAACCACAAAAATCTGCAAGGAGGATCAGATGACAAAAGCAGTGTAATGCCACAAGGCCCACCTTTTTGTACATGCACTATGATACTCTACAAATGTACAAAAGGGATGGAGCCTTTGACATAATGGTACAGTATTACTTTTATCATTTTGATGAAAACGTCCTCCAATCCTATAAATGCCTCCGGTACTATCCAGATACAAATCAGCTTAGATTTTTTTGAAAAGACATTATAGGGTAGACAATGCCACATGATGTAATCATGCTAGCTCAGAATTATGAACGTTACAATCCCAACATATGGATTCATTATTTTTCACATCCTGTGCTAAGCATGTTGGGTTACAAGGATACTCCATAGTTCTCAATCAGCAGCTACAGTCTCCGCATCCTTTCATTTAAGATTGATGTTTTTCAGGTCTTCCTGAAATGTTTGGCACCAGGTTTTCTTTGGCCTCCTTCTTTTTCTCCAACCATATGGTAGTATCTGATTGCAGTCTTTGCTAGACATTGCTCACTCTTGTGGAACAGTGTCCAGCAAAGCCCATTCTTCGTTCTGTCACTATCTCAGAGAGTCTTCAGGAATTCCTTCTATTTAGAATTTCCTCATTTGGTCCCAATATGACATACGAAGAAATTTTCTGAGGCAATGTTTTTAAAAGACATTGAATTTATGAATAATTCTTGTTGTAATTTCCAGGTCTCATCAGTATATAGGGCAGTCCGTGTAACAATGGCTTAAATACTCTGATCTTGGTTGTTGTGTTTATGGTAGACATGGTTCATATTAACTGCATTTGTTGGAAGACAGCAGTTGCTTTGCCTATTCAGCATTTCACATCTGCTTCTGTTTCACAATCTGTATCCATGATACTATCAAACTAGTTGAATTGTTCCACAAATTTAAGGCCTGTCCTCCTAATGTCATATTGGGGTGTTATCTTGAACACTGCCAACTTGGTCTTATCTTCACCAATGTACTTGCCCACTGTACTTGCCTCTCCTTCAAATGCCATGCTATATATACTATATTTAGGAAAAAATGTTTTAAACCAGGATATTTTTTCTGTACTACTTGTAAACAGATGTGTAGAAATCTATGTAGGAAAACCAGATAGCAGTTGAATGAAATCTTGTTCAAACAATAGTTGTTTTTCTACTTTAATGGAAAAGCAAAATCAGTTTAATATTTTCTGTCATACCTTTTTCCTTTTTAAAAAAATAATTTTTATTTAAGTTTAAAAATACAAGTATAAAAAGTAACACAAACTAAGAAAAATACAAAAAAGGAAAAAGTGCAGAGGAAAAAAGAAGGGGAACAGGAAAAAATGTTTTTAAAAAGGAAATACACACACACCTCCCTTCACCAAGACAAATACAATTTCAACAATTTCAAGATCTCCTCCTGTATTTTGCTCTAATCCATTCTCCCAGAGAAAAAAATTTCATGCATAAATTCAGTGTCTTCATATATTTTAATAAGATTTTAAACAAGCCAAGTACAAGAAGCGTTCTTATAATTATTTGAAAACCTTACTGCTAGTTAATTTAACCTCTTAATATATTTATAAACTTTCTAAAATCAATGTTCTAATAACCCCATTGTTGCTTATTTCCAAATTTTAAAAAATTTCTTAAAATTACATAAAACTTCTTTCACTGAGGATTGAAAGAAAATAACTGAATGTAATAAAACTTGTCTTCTGAAGGTTCTTAATATCCAAAAAAACACTGTACAATTTATTTCTAGTGAAAGTAATTAAGAAACTCAGTGTCCCTTTGGAAGAGTCCTTATGCAGCTTGGGCAAAGCTGATTCTACCAGCTTCCAAAGCTCTAAAAGGCTGATCATTTATGGTGCATCACTGGAAACATCTACATGAAGCACTATGGGTGATCCTAGGTCTTCTCTTTAATCCAGAGTGTTCAGGCAGTCAACTCATTCAGTGGCTCCTCTTTCCACCACAGTTGTTGGCTCCACTCCAGAGCCATCTTCAATTTGCCATACTTCCCAGGAAATCTATCATACCTTTTTCCCAATTAAAGAACAAAGGGGTTTTTTTCTTTGTCTCTTAGCTATCAAGGTGAAGCAAATAACAGCATTAAGTGCAAATACACCTAACTTCAGCTGTAATACTCTGTTACTTCATCTCTTACCTTTATATGGTCTTATATATCTAATGCTAACCCAGCCTCTTGAAGGGTCATCTTCAAAAAATTGTACATGGATACGTGATGCTCTTCCTCTCCCCCTTAAAAGGGATCCTTCTGTTGGGTGTGCATACACAAGGCATGGCCACCACGGGTAGCCTTCAAGTTTGGCCCAAACTAAATCACCAGGTGAATAGTCATTCAAGTCACTGCAAAAAAGGAGAAAAATAAGTGTAATTTTAACACTAGCTTGCAATTCTTTAAAGCATTTGAATGTTTTCTAGGATTCCCCCAACTGATCTCTGCCAATGCTACATGATTTTGAGAAATTACATGGCTTCTTTAAAGATTTGCAGAGAATGTGTCTTTGCACATTCCATCTTTCAGAATTTTATCTATGCAATATCTATAAATAAAAAAATTAAATGTTTATTTTTGTTAATTAAGGATAAGGAATTAGAATTTATAGGTCCTATTTTGGATAAATGTTTTCTTAAAATCATTAGACCGTACAAGCCTGATTCAGGGCCTCTTTGTTTTAGACTGTCAGTGTGCTGCCTTTTTCCCTAATAGTCAGACAAAAGATTATCACCAAATCACTTGAGCAGCAGGAAAATCACTGGAAAGGAAACTTGCAGCTGAAATGTTTGTTTGTTGGAATTCATTCCGGGTGTTTGTGTGCAGGGCAGTTTCTGCTGCCTGAAACACACATACACAGGGATGCAAAAACATCGCACCAGAAACATCTCTCTGGCCTAACGGTCAGGACTCACTATGCAGCTCATGTAACAATGAAATATGTGAGCCAGCTACTCCCACACCTGACCTTTCTCCCCACTATGCTGTGCTGTAACTTTCTATTCCCCCTTTGCCATGATGTGATTTTCTATTGGTTTATTTGTAGAATGCTGTGATTTTTCATTAGTTTACTTGTGCCATGTGTGATT